TGAGGAAGACGGGAAGAAATGGCACATGAAGACCACATATCTCAGCAAACACCCACAGCTGGTAGGTAACTTCTCCACCTTAAGTGCTACAGCACTTGCTCATTCGAACTATGCCAAACTCAAAAGGCAGCATTCACAGGATCACAGCACGGGTGAGACTGGACAGGACCTCAGGAGGTCATTTGGTCCAACCCCCCTGGCCAGGCAGTCCGCTCTGTCAGCCTAGAGCCTGGGAAATGACTTTGTGTGACTGTGCTCTCTTTGTGGTTTTGCAGAGGATTGGCCTGTGGGACACTGACATACACTGGTGCCAAGTGTGTTGATGGGTGCAGGGCGTGGACACCCTAAATGAGGAGTTCCATGCTTCCTTGAATTTAATAATAATTTGCTGCCTCTTACAGAAGTTACTTCTATGAGTTCAGCTCCCTCTTCTTCCTGCGGAGAGGTCGAAAGATGTAGATAGAGCATTTTTCCATAATGGTATCTCTTCAAGATAGCACAAACAGGATAATAGTCCTTAGAGTGGATAAGATTCCTACAGAAGGCGCTGAGCAAAATGTGACCTAAGAAGATGACACCTACACTGTGTTCACAGCGGGAATATGAACTCAGGGTCCATCTGAAGTATGAACAATTCAGCTGGCCAATTAAAAATAGCATTTAAGTCAAAACTGCACTAAAGAGTACCCTTGAAAGAATTATGTCTATGAAATACATCATCCTACGAAGTGGTCAAGAAAGAACTAAAACAGCACTGGGCACATTCTCTCTTGGAGCAGGGTCTAGTGCATGACTGCGATCAAAACACAAACTCACTTTCTACAAACATTGTGAGAATAGTTTTCAATGTCTTAAGTATGAATGTCGTGTGGGAGACTGACATAGGAATCACAAACAACAGGAATCTACAGTTCTGACTGTCACAGTGTTAAACATAGTAATTTATTATATGAATGATGGCACCCATTTATGGAAGAAGATTAGAAACCCAGTGCCATACAAATTTGACAAAGTAGTGTATAAGTACGAATAAACACAGAGGACAAGTAGGAAATCACAGTTGCAAGGGACAACTAGAACTAAAAGGAAAAGAAATCCTATTAGGGAAGACAAAATATCAAGTAGAGCATTCTGACAGACGTTATGATGTGAAAATAGTCTCCAAATGGCAGCAGTGAAAGCCACATAAAGTTTACAGCTCCAATTAGACTGTGAGGCAGAGCAAAAGTAAGCTGAGCAACCATGTAAACAAACGTGGAGGTCACCTGAGTGGTTATGGTATGAAACAAAGATGAGTATTTTGGCAATAACTTGCATTTGAAGACTGAAGATGACACAGACCAGGTATGCCAATAACACCAAAATAATATACCTAGCCTACTAGTTTCCAACAGAAAGAGTAGTTTACATTGAAATACATTATGTAAAAGAAAACCCCAAATAAAAAGATTTAAAAATACCTATCAGGTTACCTTTCAAACAGTATTTAGAAGTATAAGTTTGAATTCAAAGGATCCTTTGCAGTGTGCAGAACACTGCAGTACTGTACTAAGTGGCCCGCTGTCCCATAGGAAGCTGAAAGCGGATTGAGAACCAGCTGAATGGCAGAACTCAGAGGGCTGTGACCAGCGGTGCAGAGTCCAGCTGAAGGCCCGTAGTGAGTGGGGTTCCTCAGGGGTCAGTACTGGGACCAGTCTTGTCCAACATATTCATCAATGACTTGGAAGAAAGGACAAAGCGTACCTTCAGCAAGTTTGCTGGTGACACCAAACTGCGAGGAGTGGCTGGTACATCAGCAGGCTGTGCTGCCATTCAGCGAGACCTGGACAGGCTGGAGAGTTGGGCAGAGAGGAACCTGATGAGGTTCAACAAAGGCAAGTGCAGGGTCCTGCACCTGGGGAGGAACAACCCCACGCACCAGTACAGGCTTGGGGCTGACCTGCTGGAAAGCAGCCTGCAGAGAGGGACCTGGGTGTTCTGGCGGACAACAGGTTGACCATGAGCCAGCAGCGTGCCCTGGT